AGACAAAGGCAGGGCACCGAGAACTCGCTTTCCGGTTGAGGAACAAATAAAGGCAGATAGCGCGATAAAGAGAAGACAGACTCGAGATAGAAAAGGATTACAGAGCAAAAAATGTGAAAGTTAACGTGGTTCTCGATATAATGGGGACAGAGCATTCAGTCTTCCAAGCTATGGCTGGCAACCTCACAAGCAACGGAGAGGAGAGCCATCAGACGAGACTAGGTTAGTCGGCGCAATTAGATTGAGTCGTACAGTAAATTAGGGAAGATAAATGGGGTCAGTATGACTGGATAGGTCAGAGATAGAAGTGGCTATATTAAGATAAGTTGAACAAGTCCAGCAGCCTGTAGAGGTGAGGGAGACGTGATGTTGAAGCTACAAAGCTTGGACCGTTAACATCACTGTGATCTGGAAGAAGTCACAGACGCAGACTGGTCAGATAAGACTAGGCTAGGGCTGGACATTGAGATTCGGCTGCCAGATAAAAGAGGGTTCGAAAACAGAGATCGCAGCAAGGAAACGGCAGCATGGGGATGGAGAAGCAATTTCCTCTGAGATTAACTTGGTCCGGAAATATTACCAAGTGCCTGTCGCCCCGGATGACATTACCAAAACAGCTATAACCACCTTCTTCGAAGTTTTTGACTTTGCCCGTATGTTTTGGACTACGAAAGGCCGCACCAACGTTTCAAGGATTCATTGACCAGGTTCTCCGAGGACTTGATTTTGGTATTGCTTATATCGATGACATTCTCGTGGCCAGCTCTAACCACGAAGAACATCCCTTTCATCTTCGACAAATCTTTGAGAGTTTTGATCCTTATGGCATTAACCTCAACGTGGATAAATGTGTCTTTGGCCAGTCCCGTGCTGGTTTTCTCGGTCGTCGAATCGATCGCATTGGTACCAGTCCACTCCCAGAACAAACAAAAGCAATCACAGCGTATCGGATGCCGCAGTCCTACAAAGGCCTGTGCCGTTTCCTCAGTATGGTGAAGTATTACGATCGCTTGATACCTGATTGCTCCAAACTGCTTCAAGCATTAACCGACTTGCTTAAAGGAAAGACACGAAAATTCAAACGCACGAGCGAAGCAATAGGCGCTTTCGATAAGGTTACACGTGCTTTGTTTAACACCACAACGTTGAGGCATTTACCGACTGATGTTAGTACACCTCTCATCCTTAAATCCGATATGTCACAAACCGCAGTTGAAGCCATTCTGCAACAAGTCATCAATGGTCATCCCGAACCATTAACCTTTTTCTTAGGTAAATTACAACTTCTACACACTAGGTATAGTACCTGCGGAAGAGAACTATTGTCCATCTATCTCGCCATTAAACACTTTCGACAGCTACTTGAAGGTAATTCAGTTACCGTCCCAACTGATCAGAGCCACGTGATTTGCCCTTCGGGGGTCTTCGGACCGCTAACCTCTCCTGAAACCCGACAGCTTGATTCCATATTGAAGTTCTCTGTTGACATCCGTTCTATATACGCCACGGACAACTTGGTAGTCGACGCAATGCTCCGCATTGGAATTCATGAACGTTTAGGTCCGACATTTGATCTAGAGCATATCGCTGCTCAGCAGGAGGGATATTCTGCGTTTATACAAATGAAATCAAACCCTTCGATCAAACTTACCATTCCGCCGCTTATCAACCGTGACGCCAAAGTTCATTTTGACGTGTCTAGGGGTAAGCCTACGTTCCTTAGCTTTACCACCGAGTCGTTTTCTATCGTTTCCACGGGCTCTTGCACCCATGCCTTCGGGCTACGCTTACGTTGACCACAGATCGCTTCATTTGTCCAATGTGCCCTCTGACATTCAACAGTGGGAAAAGCACTGCGTTACGTGTCAGATCTGCAAGATCCATTGCCATACCATTACTGTCCCTGGTACCTTTATGCTACCGGCTGCTCGCTTCAGGCACGTCCATTTGGATATCGTTGGTCCTTTGTCCCCATTAAACGGTTTTCAATACTTGCTGATATGTGTAGATAGATTTGCATCTTGGCCGCATGCAGTGTCATTACGAGACGTCTGCTCCGAAATGGTAACGTCAACCTTCATCGAAAAGTGGATTTCCTTCGTTGACACACCTGCTACCATCACGAAAGACAGAGGTCCGCAGTTCACTTCTTCTTTGTTTCAGGACTTAAGTCGTTTGGTTGGTTGTTCTCACATGCGCACAACCGCTTACCATCCCGCGGCCAATGGTTTGGTCGAACGCTTCCATCGCCAAGTGAAAGCTTCGATTACCGCTTATCAGTCGAGCACGCACTGGTCGCAGCATTTGTCAATAACCATACTTGGCATATGTAACCCGGTATAGGAAGACATGGGCTGTTGCCCTGCTGAGTTAGCTTTTGGCACGTCACCTAGACTTCCTGGAGAGATGGTGCTGGATTCAAGGGTCACTGGAAAATGGATCCTACATCCTATGTCACACGCCTGAGGAGGCACTTCAGCTCGGTACGCCCAACACTTCCACGAATCAAGCCTCGTAACCCTCAGGTCCAACCTGACCTCCGCGATTGTCACTACGTTCCTATGAGCATCGATACACTTCATAAATATCTGATGTCACCCTACGAGGGTCCTTATTAGGTTATCGACCGCAAGGATATGTATTCGGTATTGGACCAAAATGGCTGCAAAGGCTCTGTGAGCATCGATCGTTTGAAACATGCTTACAACGAACTTCTTCCGTCGTAGCAACCTTCAGCAGTAGCTCTTCCCGATGATGATCCATCGCCGGGCACCTGCTACACAACCTATATGTGATTCTATGGTCCTTCCTTTGCAACCCCGGCAAATCCTTGCAACAAAGCACACACACAAACGCACGCGTTTTGGAATTACGGTGGTTCTACTTTCTAACCTAGCGTCTTGCAATCAGGGAGTTGTATATTTCGAGCATTCGTTTGCCCACTCATGCTCTAATGTTTATAACTTTTCCTTTTTTGCGCTCTGCTTAGTTCGTTTTGCTTTGCGTCTTTTACAGTTGTTTTAATTGACCGTTTTCCATATACACAATTCTCGACTTCGAACGGCGCGTTCTGCTTTTCTGCGGCAGCGTGTTGTGATTTTGTTTGTGTGCTAAGGAAGCCTGAGCTACGCGGAGCCAATACTGGAATATCGTGTAGGTACTGTGCAATATCAGTGGTTAGTCCAACCGTCACTACTGAAGGTCAGCGTGTTGATACTTTTATCTGACACTAATCCGTTCCTTCCCGTGCGGTAGTCTAAGACTAGCTTTCACCTACTACAAATGTGCTTGGATTTTGCTTAGTTCCGTCGTTACAGCCGTCCTACAAGTGCTTTCGTCGGAACAATTCTGTGAGCGCAGGATAGAGTGTGGCATGCTTTATCGAACGTAAGTTTGAAGCCGATTTTTAAAGTTTTAACATATTTGTACGCAAATATTTGAGTGCGGACTGTTTTAAAGTACTTGAGTTACGAAAATTAAGAGCCATCTTAAACAATTAGGTAAAACGCTCTCATAAAATACGGCAAGTTACTTTAGTTCCTATTAGTGCATAAGTAATACATCAGTAATACAAAAATGAAATCCGGTAACAGAAAAAGCACAATAATTATGGAACTATTTGGATTGTTACACGAACCCCAGCGTAACAATCCCTTCGTTAATTCTTGCTTCGGCGTAGTTATTAGTTCATATTGTTTAGCTAGGTACTACATGGCCGTTTGCGGTATGGAATTGCACCTCCTTCTCAACAAGTTTAAAATTCCGCATAGACCTGGTTAACCACTTTTCGCCCATTCCTTGCTCACAGCACACATTCACTTGTCACTGGACAGAAAAATTGCAAATTGCCAATAAAGAGCAGCGGGCTTTGGACTTATAGGTGGCAAATTATTACGTATATGTGCAGACTTAGAGTCATTGCACACCCGGAAAAACGACGGGTTGCTAAAATTTTAACGAAACGATCGTAGCGACAGGAGTCGGGATCCAAATTACCGACCTCACTTATTGCAAGACAACTCTTTGGAAGGGTTAAGAAAATTGACTCTAACATAGCGTTTATGGTTCTCTACCGTAATGGCAACGCCAAACTACTCAATATCGTAACGGCAATGACAACTTTTCAAGAGTCCCGGCTCACGTACAAAAACTGCCTACTGACACCCGTCTCAAACGACGCAATGCTGTTGGAGTACATACCTTTAGTTTTCATTCGTCCTTATTTTCGGCACTCTACATAGCGCTTAAGGTCACTTGTCTGAATGTGATCCGAAAGCGTCAAATAGTATCATATTTTCATTGCGTAAGTTAAGTTGCTTAGGTGGAACCCAATGCGTCAACTTCGGAGAAATTTCAGCAGTGCGCGTTCCTTCTGGCCCTAGTGGGGTTAGAACCTGCAAACCAACTGTCGCCGGCACTTTGAAATATTCGCCTGAATGCGAGAGACCATAAGGACCAGAGCGACTAAGATACTAGTTTTGATTTGGCGCAGTTCTCTGCCAAGTGACTACAAAGTCACCGTCATGCAACGAAGAGTGTAACACACACCAAGTGACTTGCTTGCAAACTAAAGCCACAAACAAACTAAGGTCCTTATAAAGTGTTTGGTCTGCGAGCTAATTACAGCCTAGCAGCGACGCGATTTGGCTGATGTACGTTGTTATGCATCCAGTCTTAGTAAGACCGCCATTGTAGTTTTGTTTACTCGTAGCTTGGTGCAATAAAACACAACTTTAGTTCCATTATGGCGATATCCTTCGTTTCTCTGTGGGCTTTTGAACATTAGGTTAGAAGCCTTCGGCTTGATTTTCCATCTTTTAACAGCCATATTGTTACTACTGGGCAATCAAGAATACAAGCGTTTTGCTCCATTTGTAACATACAAATTACATACCTCGGAGACAGTCATTATCATAGTCCAAAAGCGCGGTGCCAGGTCTGCGGTTCTTGTTCTTTATATTATGACCCAATACATTAATTGGACCATTTAACCTTGACCTACACATTAGTTAGCATTTACAAATTGGGTGATGAGCCTCCGTTTAGTTGGATATGCCCCGACAATTTGTGTTCTTATGTGTGTACTTGTGCCTCTCTTCATTTCTGTAGACATAGGCCTTTTTGTTACAGATCAATATGCTTACCACTGGTTAGTTTTTCGAATTGTTTTGTTTCAGGTTTCCCCGGGGATTTACGCTTGATAAGCATTTGTCACGTATAAAATGACATTTACCATTTTATACACAAACTTTGCTTACTTGTAGTCGATAAAGTGTTGAAAGCAGCTATGAACATCCGAGGTGGATAATTACTGAAAATGTTCAGCATGATTACAATTGTATCCTTATTAATTATTACCAAGCTGGTTCCAAGAAACAATTATTTTAAACGCTGTTCGTACTTATGAACAAATGATCCAATGATCCCATGATAGGTACCAAGTTGGTCAGTTGACCAACTTGGTACAACAAACTAGTTTATTGTCATGGACTACGCCTGCATTGCGATGACTGTCAGGTGTTGTTACGACATATTACGAGTGCATAGATTGGGAACATTGAGGTGACCTATGGAGCATCTAGACTGACTATTTTAGTGCACCTACCCGTCTCCGCGTTAATTTAGACTAGCCGTACAGTTTTACATGAACCTGTAAATCCAATGAACCAAATTGGCAGCAAGTTCTGACCTTGTTTTTAAATGATTGACGAGAACAGCAATAGGAAACGATTGGCGTAGGCAGAAGCGTAATCGGCGACATAGGACGAGCATTCTACGTCGGGTTCGTAGAACAAAATCTTCAATTTCGCTGCGCAGTTACCAGTTTTGCAAATTTCTGTCTCAAGTTTACATCAGACTGCAAAGATAGGGGAATGCCGTAATTGTTCCTTCTGGATATAAAAAGCAACATCTGTATCACGGAATATGACCCTTACTATTTTAGTGCTTTATATTGGTCGGAATTTCAGTAAATCTGTAGTCGGAATTTTAGATTTATCATTCCAGTCGCTGCGACATTTTTATAGTGGCACGCATGTGCGTACCACAGACAGTAAGAAATCAATCAATTGATATTGCGTCAAACCGAAATGTATTATTTTAACAAAATAGATATGCAAGGCCTCTATTTTGCAACAGGAACCAGAAAATTGGATCGGATGTTATAGTCTTCGGGATAAAATATTAGGCGGGAATGCACGTTTAAATTATCAAGTAATTTCATTGGAGACTTCTATTAAAATAAATACGTAAATGTCGGATATGTTTGGTCAATTAATCTCGTATTAAATGGTAAGAAAAGTACATCAAAAGCGGATTTAGAAATGCAGAATGGACTCAGAAATTTTTGTTAGATGGCCATACGCAGGTATCCATCTATTATCTAAATGTTCAAGTAGCTTTTTAAGATTTTTCGTAATTCTTAGTTAAATTAGTTTGTCTAGCTATCTTACACTTACCACTACATTAATTTGTTAACGCGTATTTAACCTAGATAAACGTTTGTATTAGCGCTGTTTTAGGTGCTACCAGTGCTTTCTGCAAACCCTGTTACCATGCGTTTTATACGCAGTATATAGTTGCAGTTTCCGTGCGTTATTAAATTTTCGATTTGATATTCATCAGTCCATTTATATGACTTTAATAATAGCGATGAAAGTTTGTATCTTTACCGTTCATCATAGAATTGTACGAACATTAGAGCGCCGCGTCGGATTTTTGTTGAACCTATTAGTCGTATGTCTAGTTTAAATCAGCCCAGGATCATGATACTAACTTACCAGTATCCTTATTTATGGCATCAAGTAGAAAGAGAAACGCACTGGTCGATATACAGCGTCGATTTAGTTGCAGGATGTGCCTTTTCATGACTTACAGCAAAAGTAATACCTACAATTATGTTTTATATTATCCAGATTATCCTTGTTGTTGCCACCATCATCTTAACACACTTGAGCCCGCGTACTAACCAAGCGAATGGTTTGCATAACTGCTGCAACATAGAACCAACTAGCACGCATTTAATAGTAAAGCGAACAACTATGAAGGTCTTAAACTATTATGGGCATATGGCATATACAGAAGAAGTGGCAGTTATATTCCAGTAACTAATTTTGTTGTGCTAGTCCATGTTTGCGCTATACTCAAACTGGTGTCCGCAAAAGGAAACCAGCACTACTTGTGAAAGTGTTCTGATACCGTACAGCGTAGTAGTTCCTTTTCCAACAGTAAGCGTTAGACGAAACACTTAAACTTTGAAGGGTCAGTGACATGCTAACGGCACAAATCAGAAGCGTGAATTGTCTAAAAGTGTAACTTTTCAGAGCACATAATAGTAAAACTCAATACCCAAATCGTACCCAAACCGTACTGGAATGCTATCCAATGCCTAAGCTATTTTAAGCAGTAAATCAAAACCTGTTTAAAATGTACAGTCCTATTCCAATATTCGGTGTCGTCACCACAATTAAGGAAGGTTTCCGCCTTGAATTCTAGGCAACCTTTCATGCTTGCCTGTTACTAGCAACTACCAAGGTAAATCAACATTTCGAATTTATCGTGGTCCTCAAATGCGCTACTCCTTGTTCACACAGGTTGTACACACTCACACCTATTATACCGCACCAGAGAGTGTAAATGCTCATTTTCATATATAGTTAAACGTGTCTGTTTGTGATAATGACGCAAAAAATGAGCGGAGACCTTGTTTGAGGTTATTTAAGGTACCTGTTTAGCGCTAAGAGCGAACGCTTACCCTCCTAGATCTCCTAACTAACAAATAGGCCCAGCGGCTGGTTACCTAATTAGTTTCCGGCAACTCGTATATCTGTCCTTATGATATCCACATACAACCAAGAAATGGATAGCACTTAAACAACCTATTATCTGTCATCCCACTCGCTAAAGCCGACATCAATGCACTAATGTGTTCATTAGCTCCACCGGTTTCCTTCGAGTAATGAGACTTTCTACTGTAGTTTATTCAAACAGACCTATTTCCCATCAGTGTTGTTATTGGTGAACGTTTTTGTAAACAAGAAACTAGTTGCACATCTCAAATCCAAAACAACGTCAAAACGGAATGTTTTTATCCAGGTGGTTTGGAGGGCAAATGAAAAGGTACCTTAGTTATCGCACCTCAGGCGTTCTACCTGATATAGAATAAAGTGGACTAGCTTAACTCCCCATTCTTACAATTCATCTATATCGAGCTGAAGTGCAAACTGTATCATTGCTTTACCAAACTAAAAGTAATGGTAAGGAATCACAGAGCAATCTCCGAGGTGTTATATTCCAAAAACGCAGCAAGTTGACCAAATTTCTTGGGACGAAACGGCCAAACGGATAAGTTAGAGAAATGCACGATGCGTGATGAATATAACTGCTACACCCGTATGGACACTTCAGTCAGAACCGGAAAAGAGAATTTTAAATGCTTGGTAAAATATATACATAACAGCTTAACAAATCCAAGAAATTAGAGGCACCTAGTTGGGCTGCTGAGTGGAAAAACCTAGTCGGCATCCTATGCAGTATAAGGCCTAAATATAAATACTTGACGGAAACATGACTAAAGCATAGGCTGCACAGCAGAAAACAAGCGGTGTGGATAGCTTATGGATCAACTCAATCCGTTGCTGTGTATTCATGAAATAACTACCTTTATATACTTCTGAACATATGTACGGATAGTAGTGGTCTATACCATGGAAAAAGAAAATATGGTAACTAATCAGATTTATTGATGATTTCCCTAAATGCCACGAAAGTAATCATGTTATATCAACCACCAGCAAGTTTAAACCAATTACCTTTAAGTGGTTCGCATAAGGCCAACACACCACAGATGATAGGAATAACTCAGACACAGTGTATTTAAACACGATGAAACAATGAAGTGAATTGACCGGTTAATGCGATTAAGTAACCACACTGGCCTGGGCATCATTAATGGAAGGGTCAAGCGTGGTGCCGTAACATGGGGAAGCTTGAAACTGTAGAGCCTGTACAAACTTCTTTTGAGCACATAATTCGGGATTATGGAGCCGAATAGCGATTGCTTCCGCTGTCGCCAATAGGCGACATCGGTGGGCTCGCGTGTGGTGTCCAAATATCTTGTAGATAGGCCGGATGGCCTCTCGCACATTCACTTGGTGATTTGTGTTGGCCAAATGCCCCAGCACCGCGCTGACTACTGTTTTTCTGACACCAGTGTAGAGACACGCCGAGCAATGTTCTCGGACTCTCTCAGACAGTCTTTTGGTCATCTTTTAATATAACTTGCTCGACATGAGCAAGAGAAATGGTACACACAGCAGGAAATATTCGAGCTCGGCAAGCTGTCCTTGCGATCCTGGCTCATGACTGGCGTAGAAGTGAAGCTGACGCGGTGGTCAGCTGCAAAGTAGGTTCCCGCTGTTGCATCGTAGAGCCTTCGAGTGGAAGTGCGAATAGCCTTTTTACGGCTACAGATCGCTTCAATAACGCAGAGTAACTCGTTTTCACCTGACCCTGAGGAGTACGTGCACAATTTCTCTTCTTTGCAATTAGATAGAACACAAATGGTGGTCCTCTCACTAGGCCCGAAATTCAGTTACCCCGAGGTAATGTACAACAGTTAGACTTAAAAGTCCAATTTGAAAATCTCTATTCTCAAGTTTCTACCATAACACCATCATCAGCATTAGCAGCCGAACAGTATAAATCCACATTAAGAAACACATTCTACCAGTACCTGCGATACAAACCGACCATCAAATATCTTCTAAAGAACAGGCATTTGGATGCTCTGAAGGAACTCAAGAAAAACGAGGATGTTTTGTTATCTAGACCGGACAAAAGAGCCGGGATTGTATTGTTGAACAAGTCAGATTTTGTTGATAAGATGAACAGCATCCTAAGAGACTTATCGAACTTTCAAAAAGTGCAAAAGGAGAAAGTCATCACGCCGGCAATTGAGAAGACCATGACAAGACGTTTGCGGTGTTTGACACAAAATAACATCATAGACTCTGACACCTTTGCATACGTCAGACCTAGTGGAACCGTGATTCCGAGGCTTTATGGCTTACCTAAGATCCACAAGCAAGGTGTACCTTTGAGACCGATACTGGTCATGTACAACTCTCCCTATCATATGACTGCTAAGTGGCTTGTTAAACGCCTGGAGCCGGTCAGGAAAGCCATATCTAGATACAGCCTCAGCGACACTTTTGAATTCCTTGACTCGGTTCAACAACTCAATCTAGCTGGACGGAACATGTTCTTACTAGATGTGACGTCACTTTTCACCAACTTCCCTTTAGAAGAGACTATTGACTATCTCTGCGAGTTTATCCAATTGCACAACATCAACCCCGGTATTCCAAATGACTGTTAAAGGCAGCTTATATTGGCGTGCACTGAGAACATTCAGTTTCAGTTCAATGAGACGTTTTACAGACAAATAGACGGGTAGCTGTGGGTTCACCATTAGGACCGCTAATCGCCGATGTCTCCATGAGTAAGTTGGAGTACACTCAGCTAAACGAATGTATCAACAACTTGGTTTACTACGGTCGATACGTAGATGACATATTTTGTGTTGCTTATGGTCGCGTATGCATCGAAGATCAGTTAGCCCACCTCAACGCTGCAACACAGTGTTCACCATAGAACTTGCAAGTAACAACTTGTTGCCATTCTTAGATATCCACATCACCAGAACATCAGACGGGACAATACAAAGGAGAGTACATAGAAAGACAACTTGGACCGGCCAGTATGCCCATTTGGCCAGTTTTGTTTCAGTGAGTCAAAAACGCAACCTTGTCCAATGTCTAACGGAAAGAGAAAGGAAAATATGCACAGAAGATACGCTATCAGATGAACTGAGTTTTATTCGAAGCGCTCTCGAAAAAAATAGTTATCCGGACAAATTCATCCGGAGACACATAGAGCCACGAGCATCTAAAGTCCAGCCAATCACCGCTGAAAAGCGCTTAATCTGCTTATCACTGCCTTTCAAAGGTGATGTGATAGCAGAACGAACTACTCAAAGGCTCTGCAATGCAACAGCGGGAACCTACTTTGCAGCTGACCACCGCGTCAGCTTCACTTCTACGCCAGTCATGAGCCAGGATCGCAAGGACAGCTTGCCGAGCTCGAATATTTCCTACTGTGTTTACCATTTCTCTTGCTCATGTCGAGCAAGTTATATTAAAAGATGACCAAAAGACTGTCTGAGAGAGTCCGAGAACATTGCTCGGCGTGTCTCTACACTGGTGTCAGAAAAACAGTAGTCAGCGCGGTGCTGGGGCATTTGGCCAACACAAATCACCAAGTGAATGTGCGAGAGGCCATCCGGCCTATCTACAAGATATTTGGACACCACACGCGAGCCCACCGATGTCGCCTATTGGCGACAGCGGAAGCAATCGCTATTCGGCTCCATAATCCCGAATTATGTGCTCAAAAGAAGTTTGTACAGGCTCTACAGCTGCCATGGTTTCAAGCTTCCCCATGTTACGGCACCACGCTTGACCCTTCCATTAATGATGCCCAGGCCAATGTGGTTACTTAATCGCATTAACCGGTCAATTCACTCCATTGTTTCAACGTGTTTAAATACACTGTGTCTGAGTTATTCCTATCATCTGTGGTGTGTTGGCCTGATGCGAACCACCGGAAACCAGCTTGTTCGCCTAACACTCTTCTGATTCTGATGTCATCTCAGGGGTTATTTTCTCAGGCAATTTATTTTACTTACTAGATGTAATTAGTCGTAGTGCTGTTTACTAAAACGCGTGCAGTACGTAACTTCTTATGTTTTTCTGTTGAGTAATCAAAGTTTGTGACCAAACAAACCATAAATACGAAAGATAAGATATAATCTTTCAGCGCTAAAAGATACAACGGTGAGAACACGCAACTATAATCGCAATTTAAAATATAAGGTGTCAGTTATCACGAGATTAAACATGATTATGATTCTCGGGTCTTCTATTTGACAGGTACCTTAAGAAGGCTGGTCTGCCCGATAGTCAAAAAACTGCTAAGAAAAAGCTTATAAATCGGTTAGTCTTTAGACAAGATTTGAGTCTTTTATCGAGCTGTGTTTTATTCTTTATAAATGCTATACACATCACGTTATTCTACAAGAATTGTCACTCCTAGAAGCTGTCTAACATTTTAAGTCTTCTGCTGAAAATTAAAATGGTCATCGCGGAATTGTAGTTTAGTTATCCCGAGCTCTTGCCTTTGTAATTAACGTTAGACCGTCGGTTTTTAAAGCATGTTATTTTTGATTATAGATAAGTCAAACATTACTTAATTCACAGTCAACTTAAAAGGATACTTGTATATTTTAATAACGCATTACTCTGAGTTCAGTGCACCATGCCACGGCAGCATATGGGTCCACCAATTCATTTTAATCTAAAGGTGACTTTAATGAATGAAGTTATTGTTCATTAGATGTTCACATACCATCATCAGAATCATGCAGCTTCCTTGACGGCAAAAAGCACGGCTCGGTCAATGTGCCGCAATACGATAAACGATAAGGGGTTACGTGTTACCGCCTAGAATAGCTGTAAAAGTAACAATTCTAAACATCATATCATCAATTTGGTCTGAGCTTGTTGTTGGTGGCGTGGTTACGGGGAGTGAAGAGGCAGCAAACTTAAAATACAAACGTCACTTAGGCTAGCTCTTCGCCAGGACAACACTCTGTTCAATCAAACTTTTCCATCGTCTTTTGAACTCAAGCCTGGCAGTCTAAGATAACAATCAACTCAAAATTCACAGTGATGGATTTTATATCGTCTGAACAAGTCAACTCTTGACTTCCCAACTCCTTCCATTCAGACGTGTGGCGCACAAACAAGACATCAAACAGGGTCGGCGTGCTTTCACGCTCGCATATGGCCCAGCCAGCACAGCCTGGTGTATGCTAAAACTGTTAAGCGGCTTATTTGCTCTTTCTGCAGCAAACCAGTGACGCCGGATACGCTCACTAACCTCTAGACATGGGCTAAGCTGAGAACATAATGGTGGTCGAATGTTACAAGCCACTGTAGGTCTGTTGAGTTGATGGGCCAGGTTTTGAAACCGTGCAGGAGGGTTGATTGTACCGCTTTATGGTAAATGCTGCTCTTCAGAGCGAATGATGTCACGCCGGATATTGACAAAAGTGCTGTTACGTGTTCAACCAATGATCGCTCACTATGACCGTAGACGTGATTGGCCCTACACACACAAGTAGATAAGCACGCACACACGCACTCAAGGACACACCCTAACTTTCCGTGTTCACATGTAAACCGTTAAGTGTTCAGTATACTACGTGCCAGACTGACGCGTCTCCTTGCTTATTCACTACTAGTTGAAATACGTACTTGCGGTTAGAGTCCAGCTGTGACATCTGGCGACGGAGGTCAACATGTCCATGACAAATACTCCACCGGTCTTCTGGTCGTGCTCTACCGACAAACCTTCCCTGGACTCGTGGCACAGATGGCGGAAAACCTTTACGGATTACTTGGAATTGCTTCCAATCTTGAATCCAGCAGTATCTCTTACTGAGAAAACCAAAGTGAAGCTCTTGCGACAGTTTCTTGGAGATGAGGGTCAAAGGTATTTCGATGCACTTCGCATTGATCAAATCTCTTCTACGATAACCGGCGCTTTGGAGACCTTCAGTGCTCTTTGGGGTGCTCGTCAGAATGTTTTTACGGCTAGATACTACTTTTCAAAACTCTGTCAGAAACCAGAGGAGAGTGTGAACGAGTTCATCGCTCGTGTACTACAAGCAGCACCTGATTGTAAATACAATGAAGTCGATTCAACGAGATTTGAAGAGACCATGTTACTCCAATGTTTGATAGCCGGAATCTCAGACCAGAGCACGCGGGAGAAGCTCCTTTCACAAGATGATTGTTCACTGACCTGGGAGACGGCCTGCTCGATTGCCCGGCAGAGGGAACACCTTACACAACAACTAGCAACATTTACGCTGAAGGACTCGTCAGATGAGCTGCGATTGATTAACACTACACCAAAACCAAAGCCACCCACTGGCGTCAATTTGTTTGTGTGCTATCGCTGTGGTGAGCAGCACAGTTGTCCATCCGACTGTCGGCATCAGAAGACAGTATGTCGAAGCTGCGGGAAGGTGGGCCACCTGGCGCGAGTGTGTAGGTCGGTCAAGCGACGTTCAGGTAGGGCTTATCGAGGAGCAAACCCCATCAAAACTGTGGACGAGTCTGATGGTAGCGACCCTGAATTACATTCCATTTGGCTTAATTCCGTTTCTAGCATGCAGCCGGCGCCATACACTCTAGAGCTTTACATTGAAGGACAAAAGGTACAGATGGAAATCGATACAGGAGCATCCGTGACGATAATCCGGGAAACGCTGTAAAAACGCTCCCGAACTTATCCGCTTGCAATTCTGTTCTTCGTACATACACCGGTGAACCTATACGTGTCCTTGGTAAATGCTTCGTGAAGGCACAGTATGGCGATAAAATACGCACACTTCCTGTATATGTGATCCCCGGGGATCGTCCAAATCTGCTTGGAAGAGACTGGATACGTGCTTTCCCGGATAAAATGAATGTGGTAAAATTAGTCACCGAGATCTCCGGACTTGAAACATTACTTAAACAACATTCAGCTGTTTTTTCCGAGGAGCTTGGGAAGTTGAAAGAATTTCAGGCTGTGATAAAACTAAAGGAAGACGCTCGACCAAAATTCATTAAGGCGCGCACACTACCATACGCTATGAGGCCTAAAGTTGAAGAGGAACTAAACCGCCTACAGACTCAAGGTATTATTACTCCTGTACACTTTTCCGACTGGGGAACTCCAATTGTGCCAGTAACCAAACCGGACGGCTCCGTACGGATTTGTGGTGACTACAAGATAACCATAAATCAAGCATCCATGCTGGTCAGGTACCCCTTGCCACGTATTGATGACTTGTATGCAACACTAGCTGGTGGTGAAAAGTTTACCAAACTCGATCTGAGTCATGCATACTCGCAGATAGAGCTCGATGAACCTTCGAGGAAACTTACTACCATCACCACGCACATGGGACTATTTCAATATACTCGTTTACCTTTTGGCATTAATTCCGCCCCCGGAATATTTCAGAGAATTATTGACGACCTAGTGAAGGACATTCCTTTTGCGTGTGCTTATCTGGATGATATTCTTATCTCTGGACGCTCGGATACAGAGCATCTTCGAACACTCGCGGTCGTACTCGAGCGTTTGGAGCGAAGTGGATTCAGATTGAAAAGGTCTAAATGTGAGTTCCTTTCACCGTCCGTTTGTTACCTTGGATACCGGCTTGATAAACACGGTTTACATGTTTTAAATGACAAGGTTAAACCTATTTTAGAAAGCCCAGAGCCAAAGAGTTGTGAGGAACTCCGTTCGTTCTTAGGAATGCTTTCTCACTATCGCCGTTTCCTGCCTAATGCATCGACGGTTCTATCGCCATTAAATGAGCTGTTACACAAACATGCATCGTGGTGTTGGGGTTCCCGTCAAAAAAGTGCCTTCAATAAAGCAAAACAAGCTCTTGCTTCGCCACCAACGTTAGTCCATTATGACTCTAACAAGCCACTCATACTTCAGTGCGACGCGTCCCCTTGGGGGGTCGGGGCTGTCCTGTGCCACCGCATGGACAATGGTTCTTTACGTCCCATAGCATATGCATCGCGCACCTTACAGACGGCGGAGAAGAACTACTCACAACTGGACAGGGAAGCGCTAGCCGTTATCTTCGGAGTTAAGAGGTTTCACCAGTATTTATGGGGAAACGTTTTCGAGCTTCATACAGACCACAAACCATTGATATCCTTGTTTGGGGAAAACAAAGGTATACAACAAATGGCATCACCGAGGATGCAAAGATGGGCTATAACCTTGAGTGCTTACAGTTACAAGATTGTTTATATTACCGGCGTCAGCAACTGCACAGCAGATGCACTCAGCCGTCTGCCGATCACGGAAACTGCACATGAACACGACCCTCCGTTTGAACTGGTTAATCTAATGCAACATCTAGACACAACACCGATACGGAGTTCAACAATCCGTCAATGGACGGATCGAGACCCCGTACTATCAATGGTGAAACGCTTTTTGAACATGGGTTGGCCTCCTGAAGGGACAGTTGAATTACAACCGTTTATGATTCGGAAGAACGAACTGAGTCTATTCGACGGCTGTGTTTTATGGGGCTCTCGTCTAGTCCCTCCCACCAAGGCGCGTTCACAGATACTTAAAGAGCTCCATGATGCTCATCCAGGTGTGGCGAGAATGAAGGCACTAGCGAGAGGGTACTGCTGGTGGCCCAACATCGACTCAGACATAGAGAACTTACTGAAGAATTGCGATATTTGTCAGGCGTATCAGCGGAGCAAGGCGCCAGGTCCAATACACCCTTGGCGTTGGCCCGACAAGCCCTGGCAGCGTATCCACGCCGACTACTTCGGACCGATCGACGGCACCATGTTTCTTCTACTTATTGATGCACATTCTAAGTGGATTGACGTACATCCAGTTACTCAGGCGACAGCCGAATCCACCATCACTAAAATGCGCTCGTCCTTCGCTACGTTTGGCATTCCGGAAACCATTTGCACAGACAATGGTTCGCCTTTTACGAGTGCCGAATTTGGTAAATTTGTCGCCAACAACGGAATCCAACACGTTAAATCAGCCCCGTATCACCCAGCATCAAACGGATTAGCGGAGCGTGCAGTACAAACTGTGAAACATGGCTTACTAAAGCAGCGAACGGGAACATTGCGAACAAAACTGGATCGGTTCCTATTCTCCTACCGTTCTACACCCACTGAGGCTACCGGGAAATCCCCGGCGGAATTGATGTTCGGCAGAAATCTGAGAACGAGGCTTCATTTGTTGTTTCCGAACCCGCGTGTTGAAGTACAGGAGCGTCAGAAAAAGTTTGTGTCTTCAGAGGAATCAAAACCGGAAGTTACATTTCAGGACCATCAACCTGTTTACACCAGGTTACCGCATGAACAATGTTGGC